TTACTGCAGTGTTGTCGATGTACTGATTGAAGATTTCTTGACAGTGTCATATTGCTGAAGTATTGCTAAAATCGGCGGAAACCTAAACTCACTCACTGGGAAAATAAGGTGCTGGCTGCAAACGAGCGCTATGGATTAGGGAGACAAAAAGTAGAGACGTTAAGCAAGGGTGGAGAGCGTAAGGGTGACAAATGACACACAGCGATGTGGCAATCTTTCACAGAGGTTTCAAAATAAGTCAATTATCCTGTTGCCAAATATGTTGGAAGTGTTGGGGCGTTACGTCAACTACTCTTCTGAGTGAGTGAGTATGGTTTTACGCCGCAATTGTTCAGAAATATCACGTCGGGGGACACCGGAAATGGGCTTTATACATTGTACAGAAGTGGAGATCGAACTGGGATCGTTAGCATGACGAGCGAACGGATCATTAATCTCTAGGCTACCCCACTGCCCCATTTTTCCCAAAGAGTGTGTTTGGGACTTGATCGGAAAACGTGTACGAAGATGTCAAAACCACCGCTTCGTTATCAGAACTGGTGAAAACGCTGAAAGAAGAGTTGATATGGCTGACTGATTCAGACCACGCCACGTAGTTTAAACAAATTTATGACCAATTGTAGAAGCATTTCTCATTGTTGATGTCATCACAAATGGTAATCCTTTGTTTGCCCCTGTCACGGAGCTTCCAACACTAAGAGGGAAAACAAGCTTGAGATGTCGTTGTGCAAATAGCCTTTATATATAAAAGTCACTGAAAACTATATTTATTGTGGTTTGTAACGGATGTTTATTGTTTATCATATGAACCCAGTTTGGCGTGCGATTTATCAGTTTTGTCTTGAGAACGTGACATATGTAATAAAAGTGTAAGTCTCAAACCATAAGTGTGAGAGTTGGTGGATATGCTGTCACCTTTGTTGGTGACAATCTATAAACAACCGGCAGCATGTTCTGTTGATTTTTGTGTCACACTTAGTCCTTACTTTCTTTATCCATCCATTGTCATCACTCGTTACCTATTTGTATTTCCGTAACATTTTATATCTTCGAAACTTTTCTTTAATTTTGTTTGGTGGGGATATTAATTACCAGCTTTTGAAATTGGTATTAAAATTTAGAATTTTGTTCGCTTCTTGCATGAGGTCTAATTTAATGTTCAAACAATGGCTGATTTTCAAGAATTATTTTTTTTCTTAATTTTGATGGAATTGGATTTTGGGGGGAATTGGATTCATGACATTTAAGTATGTTCGTTTTTGATTGGCTGTTACTAAAAAATTCGAAGTGAAAAATTTTCAGTTACCACTTCTGAGAGACGGTTCACTGCGCGTAGGAATATTTTGCACTCATAACCCTTACAAAGGTAAACAAACATGTCGTTTGAAACTGTTACGTTTGACCTCGGCGATTTCTTTGATATGTTTGGATCGGATATGGAGGGAAATATTGACCCAGCCTGGTTCTAACATGTAACTCAAATCACACAATCACTGCTTCTTCGTCTTCGATGTCTGGTCTTTTCAAAACTGACAACAGTCAGGTTGTCATTAATAACTACTTTCGGAACTAAGCAAAGCACTGACACACATCCAGGACAGCCACCTTTCGAAAATGGCACGCGCCAATGACGTCAGAACGAAGGTCAAACCAGACGGATCTATTTTTGAAGTTAGAGGGGTGTTCCTTATTACATAACTCATTCCATTAAAGTTGTCCATAACATAAGAAGTAGAATGCCAATACAGATGTTGCAACTTGCAATGTATTTGAAGAAAACTTCGTTTGACACTATGTAAATTGTTTCTTTTTCCTGTTTTACCCCGAGCATGGGCGAAACCATTTAGAAGGCTCTATCCGCAGTAGTGACAAGACACTACGCAAGGGTAATGAGTGCATATTTAAAACTCGTTTTATTCATGGTGCACATGTCATGGTAGAATGGAGATAATCCTATTGTGTTTACATTTTGGAAGTGATTATAGTTGGTTGAACCAGACTCGGGAATGCTGAATATTCCTACATGCCGCATAGTGCCGCATGTAGGAATAATCAGCATTCCCGATCCCTCTCCCTGGAAGCAGGCCGCTGAACAACAACTATGAAAAAAGAAGAAAATTACGACTGACACTCATCAGAGCGATGGCTCCATTCCTACACTACAATGTTAGGCCCGTGAAGATACGCGTTAGAACTGATCTTCAGCAACCCATGCTTATTTACCGTGAAGATCCGGTTTAGAATTGGTCTTCAGCAAACCATGCTTGTCATAAGATGCAACTAACGGGATTTATGGGTCAGACTCGGTGACTTAGTTGACACATGTCGTCGTATCCAAACTGGGCAGGTCGATGCTCATGCTGTTGACCACTGGATTGTCTGGTCTGGACACGATTATTTAAAATAAATTGCTGAGTGCAGCGTTAAACAACATCCCCCCCTCCCCCACCCCCAACAATTATACCATCATGAATTTATTGTACAATGGAATTCCATGTATTTGTGTCCGACATTACTCTATACCATACCAATAATGATGCCACCGTAGATGATCGTTATGACAACAATGATAACGTAATGAATATGAACAGTGAAGAGTTAGTGTGTGTAATTATGTCGCCCCAATCTAATTAAAAGTCGAATCCATGTTACCTCAATCAAACATTTACTTGGTCCACATAATTTCGAAACTGATTATTAAGAACTGTTAGTCTTTTCCCAATGATCGATATATCCTAGGGGCCGTGTGACAGCCGAGTGGTTAAAGCGTTTGTCACACCGAAAACCTAGGTTCAATAACACACACACGCACACACACACGCACACACACACACACACACACACACACATTCGTATGATGTGTGAAGCTGGTGTCCTCGGCGCGATTATTTGATTGAGTGCTGGATTATTGCTAAAAGCGGCGTAAAAACATACTCCCTGACTTCATAATGATCGCTTTCCTAAATTTGGATAAATGTGAACTCGTCGTCATTTTGGTATTAGTATCAAACATTGTACTTTAATTGTTTAATTATTTGTTATTACTTAGTCCATGGTCAACCTGAACAACAAAATGATGGGATATGTGATCGTATGACAGTATCAGGAAAGACGTTTCGTCCGATAATCGTAATGAAGTGCATTAACATTTTGTCCGTTGCTACAGAATAGTTTTACGTCCACCTTTTCAGAAACGACTAGTATGATCATTAATTGTGATGATGTACTAGAAATCGTGCACATGTGAGGGAGAAATCGTACAAACGGCTGGTAGAGAAAAAAAAGATGTTTTTGTCGCATATATCTATTCAACATATATGTTGTTTAGCTCAATATTCCAGTGATACGGCGTCGATCTGTAAATAATTGTGGCTGGACCAGACAATGCAGTGATAAACACCATGCGCATCCATCTTCACAACTTGAGGATATGATGACATGTGTCAGCCAATGTGGGCCTGACCACAGGATCTCGTTAGACGCCTCTTACGACATGCATGGGTTGCTGAGGACCAGTTCTAACCGGGATCTTGACGAGTCATAGCTTGTGAAATTCTTTTCTATATCCTAGTGGCATTTTTCTATCATTACACTGTATATGTTATTCATTCAAATATAAATGCAATGGATGTAACTGACAGTTATCGCCTAATGGTAAAGCGTTCGTTCGTCACGCCGCAATCCATGAATTCAGTCACTCGTCTACACATCAGACCAAAATGGCCGAGCGATAATTCCAGATTTGTCACCTAGTGCTGCTTCACGTGTGATTTATATTTTCTGCCTCTTTGCTGTTTTAATCCTCAGCAATATTTCCTGGACCAAGAAATCCGTTTGTCAAATTATCCCGTTTATGGTGGCGGTGGGGTAGCCTAGTGGTTAAGGCGTCCGCTATTCACGCCGAAGACCCGAGTTCGATTCCCCACGTGGGTACAATGTGTGAAGCCCATTTGCGGTGTCCCCAGCCGTGAAATTGCTGAAATATTACGAAAAGCGGCGTAAAACTAAACTCACTCTTTCTATGGATAGAGACATTGAAGAGACTTGTGTGTTGTAGGAGATGGCGAAATACGGGGGTCTTCCGGTTAATATTTCCTTCCTCAGTAGTATCTTCCGTAACCTTTTCAATAAAAAGTGAAAATAAATGTTTCGGGTTCCTTGGTAAACTCGAGGAACAAGAAAGTTAATGCCAAGTTGAATAATAAGCTTCATTTCTTGTTCGTAGTGAGTGAGTATGATTTTACGCCACTTTTAGCCGTATTCCAACAATATCACGGAACACCAGAAATTGGCCACCCACATTGTATTCATTTTGGGAATGGCTTCTGGCTCCACTGAGAGACGGGACTTTGACAAAACATCCTCGGTGATTTGAATTCAAAATACTAACATTACTGATTTATTGACATATGATAGTGAATGTTTTGCAAATAGAAGTGTTATGTTTCACAATGACAACCAAGCACTTTGTACAACAATTACCATACGGTGCACTGGGTATCCAAGGGTTATGCCCCTGTTTAAGACATGTCACCTGCTGACATAGTGGTTGTTATGGGTGGTGGGGTAGCCTAATGGTTAATGCGTCCGCCCGTCACACTGAGGACCCAGGTTCGATTCCCCACATGCGTACAATGTGTGAAGCCTATTTCTGGTGTCCGCCATCGTGATATGTACACATGTGCATGATTCGATATGCTTCTAACATATGTTATATTTGGTATTACACTTGGGCAGTAAAGTACATGTTCTGGTACTTTGGGGGTTGGGGGTTTGGGTCCATTCCGGGATTCGAACCCACACCTTCAGAGCCAGGCACCTGATCTCCAACACCTAAAGTCAGCCGTCTAACCCGCTCAGCCAGCGCGACGTCAACATGCTTGTTTAGTACATATAATGTGTTCATAATATATATGCATAGTTGTCATGTTTTCATGCATGTTTTACCCTCTTATTTAAAAAAAAAAATTCTACCATTGACCCATTTCTTACTTTATAAGGAACCTGAAAGTCGCGTGACTCAAGACCGAAAGACGGAAGTTTCTCAGGGACTAATTGACTTGAGTGACGAAGACCGAGCATAATGCCACACTACCACAGAGCCATATAGCCAAACAGTATACTGGTCCATGTAAATAAAACCTGTCGGAACTACTTGGGAATACTGTGAGTCCATTTCTATTTCATTTCTTTTTTCTTAAACACCGCTGTCAATTGCCAATTGTGACCACAGTTTATTGCATTCAAAATACGTTGATGGGTGAGATAGGGGCGGTGGGGTAGCCTAGTGGTTAAAGCGTTCGCTCGTCACGCCGAAGGCCCGGGTTCGATTGCCCACATGGGTACAATGTGTGACGCCCATGTCTGTTGTCCCCCGCCGTGATTTTGCTGGAACACTGCTAAAAGTGGCTTAAAACCCAAATCACTCACTTGGTCATGGGTGAGATCCATGCATTAGAGGGATCGAACTATATTATTGTGTGGGAACGTTCACGGGTGACAGACAGAGGCATGTCAGGGTTCGAAGTTTGTTATAGTGCAGATGCTATATCATTATAGTGCGAACACGTTCACAGATGATACATGCTTACGAGGGGATCGAAGTTTTACAGTATTCATACGTTCATAGGTCATATACTTGTATTTGGGGGATCAGAGTCTATTTGCCTCATTTTGACAAGTGACAAGTTTATTTGCTTTTAAGGCCACACGTCCCATAGTACTGCAGATACAATACATGCACAAACATGAAAGTATACTAACGTCCAAAAGAAACTATACAAAATCAAAAAGATAGATATTCTGAATAAAAATGTATATTGTTGATTAGATATGATATGGAAACAATCGCCTCAATCATGAAAAGAGTTGTATTTGAGCGCAACGTTTTCGTGCTTACTGTCTTAAAGCATGAAAATTGTTCCCGTGTGCAGCGTGAATCACGTGCATGGTATTCATATAAAAAGAGTGCAGAGCTGTTCACTGACATCATCCCATCAAAAATATATTAACGACCATGCCGCGATTAACACAAGAAGAAAGAGAGAGGGCCATTGGACTGATGCAAATGGGAGCCACCCACCAGCACGTTGCTACAACATTGGGCTGCGCTCGTATTACTATCACGAGACTCCTACAACGTTACAGACAGACAGGTGTGACATCAGACCGGCCCAGAAGTGGGAGACCCCCCGTTAGCACGCCGAATGAGGACCGGTATTCACCAATGCTTCATCTCAGAAATCGTTTCCTGCCTGTGACGTCATTAGAAGCAACTGGTCTTGGACATCGTGTCAGCCGACAGACAGTTGCACGACGACTCCGACGGCATGGTATTCGTGCTCACAGGCCCTTTCGAGGCGTAATTTTAACGCATCAACATCGACGTCAACGTCTGCAGTGGGCACGCACCGTTCGACAATGGCAAAACAGGCATTGGCAAAGGGTCATGTTTTCTGACGAGAGCAAGTTCCTCATATTCCAGAATGATGGCAGGGCTCGAGTCTATCGAAGACGAGGCGAACGTTACCAACGTAACTGCGTCCAGGAGGTGGTTCCATTTGGCGGAGGCGGTGTCATGGTTTGGGGTAGCATCTGTGATGATGTGAAGACAGATCTCATTGTGATGAATGGTAATTTGAACGCTCGAGGGTATATCGACTAGATAGGGGGAATTCCATAGTAATTCCTGTGTTTTATGAAATACTTACGAGGTTTATATCATGAGTTCTTTACAATTTGCCCATACTAGCCAAACTTACAAAATACACGAAATTTGTTACCCTGAAACCGGGAAACAAACGTAAAGTTTTCCCAGCCATATGGTTCTAGCGCTGCGCACGGGGCAACACACCACTCGTCCGTGGCGGGTGACAGATGACGTGACGATCTCTAAAAGTACGAGCGCTAACCATACAACTTCCTCGATGTCTAAACCATAACCTGTAACCCTACCACTCCTAGAGGCCCGTCCTTGTTAGAACGTTGCTCAACACTCTGAAAATAAATTTCCCAATGTGGGGAAGGAGGGTGGGAATTATGATATTACTCGTAAGTATTTCATAAAAACAGGAATTACTATGGAATTCCCCCTTTTTATTACTATACTTACTCCTAATATCATGAGACTTTGTCATAGCGGACGGCGGGAGCCGAGCCTCGTCCTGACAAGTCACCGATAAAGGAGAGGTATTGTAAAGCGAAGGAAAATCCCTCCGGTCATGCCGACCTAGGTCAGGTCGACCCGGGCTTGACATTGCCACCCACGCGGGGGTCGGGGCAACCCCGACCTGGTAGGAGTTGCCTCCCCTAGAACATAGGGAACTTCAGTGCACAATAAATAGAGAAAGAAAATTTACTCACTTTTGGCTTGTAAATCTTCAAGATGGTCGGTCTGGGCGTTACCATGACTTCCACCCTGTGAAGGGTACAGAAGTTTTCTTCTCCAATCCCCGTTAAGGGAAAATGACATTTACGCAACTAAGGAGCACAATGTTATTGGTTCCCATAAAAGCGGCCCATATAACATTACTATAAACACACTAACTCTGCAACTACAGCGCTATATACTCACTATTGAGGGAGGACAAATATTCCAAACTCACAGAAATATCGACATCGTCATTAACAAAACAATAGATTCTGTGCTACTGCGAGGAGAAAACGTTTACACCCGTTTCGCTGTGTAGCAACGTTTTATGATATAAAATAGCATCTAAAGAGACTGTGGAGGCGAATGCGAGTGATTTCACACTGCTAGAGGTCAGCAGGTCGGATTTACCTGCCTGATCATAGGCTACCCTGACAGTGCTTGTAATCCACTTAGAGAAGGCATTGACGTCATTAGATCTCTCAGGACTGGATCCCCCGAGAAGTCGGGACCCCTGCATTGGCGTATTGTGGTACAAATTGCAGAGCGATAAGACTTAATAGTGCGAGCTTTAAGGTGTGAATTCCCCTGTGGGTGATTTAGAAACTCGGCTAAGTCTTTCACCATTGGACGTAAGGTATCCACTTGTTGTGACGTCCAATCCACTCAGCACTGCCAGTGTGCCTGGACTGAACGACGCGTTCGGCAACTGCTTTAGAAAAACCTCACGTCTGGAGGGAGTCTTTGACAGTTTCCAGGCGTGTAGGTCTAACACTGCCGGGTTCTCATGGCATATCCTCGACTGGGGTTGCACTAACAGATCGAACCGGCGTGAAAGCGCTATCGGTGGGGCCACTAGGAGCTCGAGCAGCGTGGGAAACCACCGTTGAGCCGGCCATCTCGGAGCTATGAGAGTGAGATCTGAACTTTCCTTTCGCGCTTTCCTTATCACCCGATCCAGAATCGGGGGAGGAGGAAAGGCATAGGAGACCAGACCCGTCCAATCTAACGTGAGAACATCGTGTGCCCACGCTATGGGGTCCAGAACCGGGCACACAAAAGGGGGAGTTTGTGATTCCACATGGGGAGTCTCCCAAGCAGAGGATATCCCTTTCACCAACGAATTGTGTAGTGTCCATTCTGTCTGAACCACCATGCACCTTCTGCTCAGGGCGTCGGCCAGTACATTTATCTTCCCCTGAATTTGTTAAGCTATTAAGTGACCCTTCAGCTCTTTCATTTTGTTGAGAACTATGAGTGTTCTCTGACAGAGATCGGGAGAGTGTGTCCGTTGTTTATGTACGCGGCAACCGTTGTGTTGTCGGTACGAAGGAGAGTCACTTTGTTCGACAAGTGGGGTTTGAACACCTCCACTGCCCGATTGACTGCTTCCATCTCCAGGACATTGATGTGGAGATTGCGAAGGTGCAGTTCCCACTGGCCGTCGGCCTTTAGGGTGCCCAGATGAGCCCCCCAGCCCGTCTCACAGGCGTCTGTGAACAGTGACTGTGATGGTGTCGGTGGGTGTAACGGCATGGTCTGAGACAGGGAGTCTCGAGCTAACCATTGACTTATGGACGAGTTGAACCACGTCCCGAGGGGAACGGGTGTGTCCCAGCTCAGATGGTCCCACTTGGAGGCTAGCATCAGCTGTAGCTCTCTTTTGCCAGTTTCGCCCAGGGTAGAATTTTTGAAAATGATTCTATCCATCAGGAGAGAGTGAATCTCTCTCAGCGTGGCGAAAGTCTTCTTGCACAACTTGTGTGCTAGCGTGACAAAGGCGTTCAGACTGTGATCAGCGGGAGACACAGTGGCTTCCGTTAGGTCGAATTTCACCCCGAGAAAAATAAATTTCTGAGAAGGGACTAGTTCTGATTTCTCGAAATTTATTACAAACCCTAGTTTCACAAATAGTTCCTGAATCTGCTGACTCTGTGAAGCACGGAGGAGATTCAATCTGGCAGGACTCAGGGAATCACCCAGGTAAGCATGAAACTGGAGACCCAGGCAATGGAGCCTTGCTACAACTGCTTTCATAACTCGGGTGAATACGTAGGGGGCCGAGGCTAGACCGAACAGAAGAGCATGGAACTCGTACACACGCTCCTTGAACACAAACCGGAGGTATTTTCTCGACGTTTTGTGAAAAGGAATGTGAAGATGGGCGTCTTTTAAGTCTACTGAAATAGCCCAGTCGCCTTGATTTAGAGAGGTTCCATTTTGAACGCCTCTGCTAGCGTGTACTTGTTCAGGTGAGACAGGTCTAATACTGACCTCCAGTCTCTGTTTCTTTTGGGGACTAGGAACAGTCGGTAGTAAAATCCCAGCCCGGGATTCGGGAGGGGAACAATCGCCCCTTTTCCGAGAAACTCCCTTATCATTTGACGCAACGACGACAATTGATTTTTGTCCCTGGGGAGGGCAGACAGAGGAGGGTGGCATGTTAGCGGCGGGTACGGTACGCCGTGAAACTGAATGCAGTATCCGACACTTAGTACGGGATGTACCCAAGGGTCAAGCGTCTCCTCTTCCCATGATGGTAGGAAGTGTGACAACCTGCCAGCTATAGGGAATTCTGCCCCTGATACGGAGGCCCGACTTGGTACCGTGTCCCGAGTGGACACCGGTATCGGAGGCTCCCTGTGGAGCTCAGATGACCTGTCTCTTTGGGGGAAGGAGTCAGGAACGACCTGTGGCCTTCCCTGTCTGCCCCAGGCCCATAGGTCCGCCGATCTTGACTCGCCGCCCTTGGGTGGGTCTGTTGACCCGTCCGGCGCAAAGCAAGAGTATGTGCCCG